TTTGCAATGCTAAACAGATAGCAGCATCTTTTCCTCTCCAATAACACACATTTGTTTCGGAATTGAGAATTGGCCTCCAGCTCTTTTATTCCCACTGCTGGTGTTTAACTCTTCCCATGCTGCAAAATGACAACTGCTGTTTACCTATTTTATCACTCAATTTAATTATTGAGGTTTTTAATAATTTTCATTATTTTAAAATTTGGTTTTTGAGGCATGCGAGACATATGTCTTTTCTATTGTTACAGTTATTATTATATGAAAAATAACTCAGCAGCTCACTCAGAAGGTACACTTTATAACCTTACTACTTTCTTTTGGTCAAGTGATTATAATTCTGTATATCCTGGTGCCATCGATTACCACCCAGTTCCATGACCGCCCATATCCCCCACACCCCCCTCTGCCATCCTTGCTTCCACCTGCTCCCCAACTGCTTCCCCTACTGTCTATTTATAAAAAAAAAAAAAAGAGTTGTATACACCGTACCTTTTTTGCAGATGATCACATGTCTGGTGGAGGGGTCTTGCATGGCCTCAAACTTGTGATTTAATCTCTTTAAATAAATGTTTTGACAATTGATTAAAGATTTTCTTATCAATGCTGATATTGGTCAATCTGCTGGCAGTTGCTACAGCACCCACTTACCTCAGGTCTTGCCCAGCAATGTGTGCAATGGGAATATATTGTGTGCTTTTTTCTTACTATTTTATAAACTGGAGTTGTGCTTTAAATAACATGCTGCTATTAATTTACTCACTCTCAGACCACAGGATGAGAATCATGAGAGGCCAGACATCAAAGAATGAGGATGGAGAGGCCATGTTCAGTGTGGAACAAAAAAAAATAAAAGGATAAAAAAAAAACAGCAAATGTTATAGATAAATGAAAATTGTTTGGTGTTTACTAGAATCCTAGTAGTACCTTAGTAGACACAGGACCCACCACTAGTGATGGGGGAATTTGCCCTGGTTCAATCCACCTAGGGTTATGTGAATCTAGTGCTAAATTCAGGGAACCTGCACTTTGCGACAAACCCCTTAAAAGTCTATAAGAGCAATCCTGTTGCTAAATTGTGGACATTTTTTGGACTAATAGGCAAACTATTTTGAAACATTGCTTGGGGAGCTGGGCACTGCCATGGGAGACATTTAACAAAGCAAAGAAAAAAATTTAAAAATTACAGTGCAGTGTTGGGGAGAGGATCCTTTTATTGAGGTTTTGAAGGCAACATGGAAAAAGCACCAGTCCTGTACATTACATGCTTTGAAGATGCCTTAAAGCTTTATTATTGTTATTATAATTATTATTATACAGGATTTATATAGTATCAACAGCTCTCACAGTGATTTACAAAATAAAGGGAGAAACAACAGTTACACTACAATTTAATACAAGAACATTAAGAAGACCCTGTCCATGGGAGCTTATGATCTAAAGGGAGAGTCAAGTGGTACCAAAAGTAATAACTATGCTGCTGATGCAGAAGCATCACATACAGTATTTTGGTTGTATAATTGTTTTTTTAACTTGTAAATTTAGTTTGGCTTGAAAGCTAAGTTCACCTTTTAAAAAAAAAAAATTGACTATACAAACATTTTTAGGTAGTTTTGGCTGCAACACCTTTTTATGAAGTGAAAGTAGGCCTGAAATGATTGGTGGAAGCAGGGGCGGACTGACAGCTCATGGGGCCCCCTGGCAATAGGGGATCATGGGACCCCTGTGTCCTTGCCCAAACTCAAAAAAGCCTATGAAAAAGGTACCAGGGGCATCTCATGTGCCCGAGTTTCCAAATGGCCACTCCGCCCCTGGGTGGAAGTAGCAGCCACAACAGATCTTAAACCTATAAGAAGGCTTCCTTTAAAACACACAAAAAAAGAATAAAGCTAAAGCCATCAACTTTGTATAATTTGGCCAGTAGCACAACAATTTAAAATAATACTAAGTGAGATTTTTATATTGTAATATCACAGTGTATTGCCTTAAATGTTTAATAAAATATCAAAACAGAATGCACATTCTCTGAATCCCCTCTAATCCCCAGTAAATTGCAAAATATTCAAAATAAAGACTTCAGGTCTGTGTTTGGTAGAAAGTGGCTAGTGTCAGGGCAATATACAAGCCCTAGAATAGGAAACACAAAGAGATAGGGAGGTAAGGCATTTGTTTATCATGAAACAAACATGAGTATATTACCTGAGATAAATAGCCACAAATATTTTATAGTGGCTGGACAGTATGTAAGCAGCTTCATTGAGCAACAAGTGAAGATGAAGAAATGAGACAGCTTTTATCTGGAAAAAAACAGTGGAGTGTATGATCTGAGAGACAGTCGCTACAAATATTGTACAGTGGCTGAACAGTATGTAAGCAGCTTGGTTAGGCTGCCGTCTAAGAAATAGAGACAAGGCAGGTCAATCTTGAAATAAACATTAGAATGTATTAGCTGAGAAACAATAGCCACAAAAATTTTTGAGTGCGCAATAAAGGATTTACCAGTATCCAACATTTTTGCAGCTATGGTTGAGTTATGGAAATATTGTAATGCACTTTTAGTGTAGCACAGGAATAGGCCACAAACTCTGAGGTGTAACAACTATAAGACCAGACCTTTTCTGACACTTTTTGTAAAAATCTATATTTTTCCCCTAGAAAATTACTTAGAACCCCCAAATATTATATATTTATTTTAAAGCAGAGGCCCTAAAGAATAGAATGGTGGGTGTTGACATTTTTTATGTCACATAGTATTTGCGGTTTTTCAAACGTGATTTTTTTTTTAGAAAAAAATACACTTTTTTAATTTTAATGCACAAAAACACAAAATACCAGGAGTTTGATAAAATATAAAATATAATGTCATGCCAAGTAAATTAATACCAAACATGTAGCACTTTAAAATTGCATTATCCATAGGTGATACTTTAAGGGCAGCACAGTGGCTAAATGGTTAGCACTTCTGCCTCGCTGTACTAAGGTCATTGGTTTGAATCCCAGCCACGGCACCACCTGCCTGGAGTTTGCATGTTCTCCCTGTGCCTGCATGGGTTTCCTCCAGGTACCCTGGTTTCCTCCCACACTCCAAAGGTGGTAGGTTAATTGGATCCTGTCTAAATTGGCCCTAGTATGTGTATGTATGAATGTAAGTTAGGGATCTTAGATTGTACTGTACACCCCTTAAGGGTAAGGGACTGTTGTGAATGTACAATATATATATTATATGTAACCCACTGTGTGAATTGACAGCGCTATATAAGTACCTGAAATAAATAAATAAAAATAAAAGAAGTCTTTACAGTTTACCGCTTTAGATTTGAACTGGAGGTCTGCTGCTAGAATAACTGCCCTCGATCTGATGTTTGTGGTGCTGCCATTAAAAATGCTTGTGAGACCAACGTGCGCATTTATCTTTGCAAGTCAGCACAGGGGGAGGGGCATATTAAAATAAAAAAAAATAGTTTTTTTTTTTTTTCACTGTCTCCCCCCCATATATATATATATATATATATATATATATATATATATATATATATATATATATATATATATTTAGCCCCTGTAATAGCAATAGGCAGTGACAGGTCCTCTTAGCTGAGAAATCTGGAGTCTATTAGACCTCAGATCTTTCCTCTGTCCTTCACAACATCTGATCACCACCAAGATCAGTGTAATCAGGTGCTTTTTCTAGTTTAAAAATGGTGCTGTTTACATCCGGAGAAACCAGTTTCTGAGACCATAGAGATGATTGGAGCTGTTTTGGTCTCCGATCAGCTCCTTGGTCAGCTGGCAGAAGCACTGGCTGAATGCTCGGGTCTCCCGATGGGACAGGAAAGCCCGAAAAAGCCCCAGAAGCTTCAGCTGCTAGGACTGCTTTTACAAGAAAACCAACCACTGGCTAAAAAACATCAATACTGGGATGATGCCTGCAGCTTCAGGTCGTAGAGATAGCAGTGACCTGTACCTATGGGGCAGTGCCACTAGACAGATTAGAATGGCTGCTCTCTTCAGTCCTGCGTAAACTTCCCCTGACCTAGGACAAAATCATCCTTTGCTGCTATTCTGCATCCCACTCAGAACTTTCTTCATTAGTTGGTGATATGCACAGATGGTCTGCCATCTCATCATCCATGCCTTCTACATCAATGAAGCCCTCTTCTCAGTATGTTCCAGATGCTGGTACATCACTGCCTCTTGTTGCTCCCTGCCTGATACCTCCTAAATGTTGCATGACTGAATCCTGCATGGAGATATCTTCCTTATCCTACATATTTAAATGGAGGAAGGATTGTGTGTGTCCAAGATCATCCATCTACAGCAAGCCATTAATCAGTAATCAAATAATTCCTCATAGCTAGTTTTTGTGGCTATGGCAGGATTCACAGAAGAGCAGGAGGAAGAAAAAGGGTGCATTAGCTGCATTTTCAAACGACTGGCTGTTCTGTCCCTGGAAGGACAAAGAAGAGGAAGGCTTTGTAAATCCCTCCACTACCTCCTGAATGTGATGTGGCTGTATAGCACGTCCACTCTGAGATAGAAAAAGGAGTCGTACCCTGCCCCTACATGGTGAGGACTGACCACTGTTTTGTCTAGCAAAACTACAATGCAACATTTTGTAACCTTGCAGAGGATAGAAACATGGATATATATGATATAAAAAAGTCCAATAAAACATCAAAAAATAACACTGAAAATGAGGGGACAGAAGCTAAACAGTAAATACAGTTGTTGCTGACACACACAAAATGTTAGTCCTAAAATCAACTCTATACAAGGAAGCCATGTTGTCATTTTTTGATAGTTTTACAAGACAATAACTTACACAGAGTTCTGAAAACAATCATACATGGTATATAATTTAGAAGCAGTGTTATACTTTAAAGATTGTTGGTGAAGGACAGGTCAACCCAACTTCCAACAACTAAAGTAGAACTAAAGGAAAATTTTTGGAAAGAGTAAGGAAGTATTATAATCGCTATCATATTTTTTGGGGGGCCATTTGTTTCCCATTGTCCTGTTCCATTGCCAAACCAGAAAGTAAGAGCAGATCCCTCAAAAGTGAAGACACCCCTGATTGTTGTCAGGGTCACCAGAAATAATGTCCCCATTGAAAGATTTCTTTTATAATCCTGTTCTGGTAAGAACCCAAAATTTTAGATTTCCTTTCACTTTCAATATTACAGGTAAACAGGACAGATAGAGAGGATGAGTAGCAATAAAAACACGGCAGTTGTTCTAATCCCTCTCCACTCCATCCAAAACTGAATAAAAAAGGTTTGCCTTTAGTTATACTACAATGTGGACCTAGGCAATGTCACCCTTTGTGTGCCTCAGTGATAGCACCTTATTCTAATCCTTTACTACTCTATCCAAAACTAAAAACAAAAATGTAACCCCCTCAAATATACACACCTACGACGGCAATTACAAGGAAGTCCCACTCTTCCTGCTGATTTTTGTAACATAATATACATCATGGAAAATGCAACAGAATTGATAACTGCCAAAACAGTCGTGAACAGAGTGAGGAATGATGGTTGGGACACCGCACTGCAAGAGTTCCCAAGAAGCATAAAAAGTAAGGGGGTTACTTGACCTTTAACTTCAATATCACTTTTCTATGGACTGACTATTCAATGTACTAAATGTTAAATGGGTAAACTTTTCTACAGGCCTGAAAAATAGTATTCCAAGATTCTGTTATTGTAAAACTTGAGACCAATGGAGTTATTTTTTTAAAGGGTCCAAGTTGCTGAACATTATTCTCACTTTGCAGGTACTAAAGAGCAGAAATTGAGTTCTGGGTTCTAAAAACGTGACCTGTGGATAACCTGTGCCATACTGGAACAATAACTAGCTTGCTAATTACTTTCACAACAACCTGTTCTGGGTGCTTTTGACTAACATATTCACTTTATCTTAATTTCTTGACATTCATTTCATCCTAATAGGATCACCTTGTTGATCTGGAGGGGACCTTTTGAAGTATGTTTTTTCTGTGTGTTGCTGGGCCCCTAGTAGCGGCAAATGCAGCTGTGTATATTGTAATGCCCTAAGTTGTGCCTTTTGCACTATTATCTTTGGAATCCAGTAATCAACATCTGGTTCGCAACCTAATGACCTGTCATATCAATTCCTAGCTCAGGTGTGCACCAACCTTACTGAAAATAGCAGTATTCTGTGCATACATTTAGCTTCCAAGGAAACAGCAAATCACTGTCCCCTTTGCATGGAAATGTCACAATGAGTAAAGCAATAGAATTGCCATTTCATGTCTAGGTAAAAGTAAAGTTGCAGCTGTATAATGAAAGTATCAGTTCCTTCTCTCATTACATAAGCTCCCCATGTGTAGCTTATAGAACACGAATGCTACAGTTATAAACATTTGATGCGAAGGACAATAGAAGGGGAGTTACTGTACTTGGCTATTCCAATTTGGAAAGTTTATGTATGTTGAAAGTGTTATGCCACCCTTTGCCAGGACCCCCTACTGAAGCATAGCTGCAGCCTTTGTTTCTTGAAAAAGTTTTTTTTGCAACTTCTTTTGTGCAGCAGGTGCAATGAGACTCCAGTACATGGAGAACAAACCTGGCATTCATGGTATTTTTCTATTAGAGTTCCAAAGACATTAAAACATATCAGGAAAATCTACCTATGTGTGAGTGCTTTTTGTTTCTGAATGTGCTGCTTGAAAGTCAAAAAGGAGAAAACGTATAATTAGCATAACTAGCCATTATACACAATGCAGTTAGCATTTAGCATTCCTAAGCTGCCATTCCCTAAAATGTCTTTGTGTGTTTTTTGGCTCCCCTCAATCTTATGTGGCCACACTTGGTGATTGGCAGCTAAATCACACAATTCTGCATTGTGATAGGTTACTAAGAGTGACTATGCCTGAAGCCAGGGTGGTGGGGGAGAATGGACATGTTATGAACAGGTACCTTATAACTTTCTCAAAGAAGGAAAAAAAAATAGAACAGGCAAAGGCAACTTATTAATATCCCTGACATATAAATTTGTTGGTGGTATCTTGCCTTGATCCACTCAATCAAGTTTGAAATTGGGTTCTGGTTGAAAGTACTTGAAATAACCAGGCGGTTAGGCTACTGTGTATAACCTCCCCATACACGGTAGCCTCACAGTCATGTCACTCCTGGCTGATAGACTTGGGTCATTAAAGAAGATCAATGAAGCAGTTACTGTGCAACATGATGAAGAAAGTAGCAGAGCTGGCTTATGTAATGATGACCAAATATGGCTGCAAATATTTACAAGCTTGCTATAACTATTAAGTGCTCAAGCTTATCTAACGTCCTGTCTATAATTATGTGGTATGCTGGACAGTAAAAAAACTGCATATATATATATATATATATATATATATATATATATATATATATATATATATATATATATATATTATGCTCGCCGGCCACTTTATTAGGTACACCTGTTCAATTGCTTGATAACACAAATTGTTAATCAGCCAATCACATGGCAACAACTCAATGCATTTAAGCATCAACACATGGTGATGACGACTTGCTGAAGTTCAAGCCAAGCATCAAAATGGGCAAGAAAGGAGATTTAAATGACTTTGAACATGGCATGGTTGTTGGTGCCAGACGAGCTGGTCTGAGTATTTCAAAAACTGCTCATTTACTGGGATTTTCATGCACAACCATTCTAGGGTTTACAGAAAAGGGTCCAAAAAAAAAGAAAACATCCAGTGGGTGGCAGTTGTGTGGATGAAAATACCTTGTTGATGTCAGAGGTCAGAGGAGAATGACCGGTTGCTGTGACATTAAGATGGTAGCGTCACAATTTGGCGTAAACAACATGGTTCAGGGTGGTGGTGGTGGTGGTGTAATGGTGAGGAGGATATTTTCTTGGCACTAGCAAGGTGTACCTAATAAAGTGGCAGTGAGTGTGTGTGTATGTATATATATATATATATATATATATATATATATATATATATATATGGAAAAAAAAATTCTGGATAGCATAGCACACGTAGCCCAGTGGGTTGGGCCCAAAGATTTCACGATCATTGCCACCCCATTGTGTACTTGCAGTTGTGGGGCAGGGAATCCCCCACCCGTGGCTTAATGGCTTGGGAATGACAGTTGCCCTCGGGTTAAGACCGAACCTAATCTCATCACTGGTTAAGAGACAGAGCTTGTCTCTGTGAACAGAATGGGAGTCTAAGCTGAAAATGTTAGTCTGTGAGTGAGCAGACTGAGAGTCTAACCTAGAGACCAACTAGATCAATTAGAGCAGAGATACTGGCACTAGAGTAGACAGAGCTGTCCAACAAATGGCCAGGAGGCCAGAAATAGAAAGTAAATGAACAGAAGAGAAATCCAAATAAAATAAAATAAAAAATCAATATTTTGTGTGACCACTATTTATCTCCAAAAGAGCATCAATTCTTCTTGGTACACTTGTGTATGTAGGATGCCTCAGATCCTTCTCTTTATGCAATCCACAATGCTTCACTGTTGCCTGCAGGCACTCATTATTGTACCGCTCCCCAGTCCAGTGAATGAACTACCTCCTGCTGCAGGCAAATATTTTAAATTTTGACTCATCAGTCCAGAGCACCTGCTGCCATTTTCTGCACCCCAATTCCTATGTTTTCATGAATAGATGAGTCACTTAGCCTTGTTTCCACATCAGATGTAAGGTTTTTCTGGCAACAATTCTTCCATTCTTGAAACTCCATTCTGCTTTGAAATTTCTGCATCAGAGAGACCTTGCCTCTGATTCAGAAAGATCTCCTGTCTTGTTGCTATGCTCAGTCTTGCCATGGTGCATGACATGTGACATGAAACTGTCTTCCACAACCACACTGTAGTAGCAGAGTTTGGCTGTTCCTCCCCCAGTTTTAAGCCTCCTACATAACTGTTACTGTTTCGGTTAATGACTGCATTTCAACCTGTGTATTAAATTGATTATCAATAGCACCTGCTTGGTATATTTGAATAAACATACACCTGAATCTAATCCTGCAAAATCCTTGACTTTGTGCAAATGTACAAAGTGTGCAAGTGTAATAGTCGATGATGGTTTAAAGCCAAAGGGTAGTCACACCAAATATTGATTTGATTAAAATTTATGCTCACTTTGCATTTTGTAAATTGATACAGATATACAATTGAAATATATATTTTTGAAAGCATTTTTACTTTACAGTAGTTCTTCGCACCTGCCTAAAACCTTTACACAGTACTGCATATACATTTATACAGACACATTCATAGGTCTTATAAAATGAGTATAAATAGCATTATTGTGAAGTCATTTCTTCTTTTGGGACAGGGAGGTTATTTGCATTGTTTCCCTATAGAACATCGCGTGACATTCCCTCTACCTATACTTTGCACTGAAGTAAAGAATGGGGAGGGAGACTTCTCTTTCCAAACATAACCTCCACTGCTTCTAGCTGTTTGGCACACTACTATAATATCTTGTTATTATGCCAGCCTCTGAAATGCGGAAGACTAGAATACATTACATTACTTAGGCTGTAGACAATATGCCTGAAATCAAAATGTAAACATTACAAATCGCTCACACCTGATCAGCGTTGCGGACTGACAGTACATTGTGCGCACATGCAACCAACCCCTCGCATTTCGTCCCTCCACCCAAGTGTAAGCAAGCAAGACATATTTAAGTAACACATGTTTACCGGAAAATATTAACATATTGAGATTAATGTTTTAATAAGTAAACAAATTGAAAATAATGTAAGAATGTATTTGTTTTTGTTGTCTCTTCTCGATTTCATTCCAAGATAAGCCAAACCACATAAAACACAGCTAAAGTGAAAAGGAAAAAAAGAGACAGATATGGATGTTCGTCAAACCCCCTCATCTTACTTTTACCAGATGGTAATTAGTGTGGAGGTGGAGAATACTCGATGCAGATTTTCTTATAGGTCTGGAGTTTTTTTTAACTTTCTTATCTCTGTTGAAAAAGGTTAAAAAGGGAAGTAATACTTTTTGTTTTCTTTTTCTTGTCATTTTGCCAGGTGCACAGTCAGTTGGTGCAGGACCAACCATTGTAAATTCTCAGAATTTAACCTTCATCGTAGAACTATTGTAACTTCATGACCACTGGATCACCAAATGTATGATTCCTGATTATCAACATTAACAGGATTTATTG